AAAACCTCATTAGTTAGATCCATTAATTTGGAACCTGCTACGACTTTAAAACTGTCTAAGCTGGAATAATTTGAAAAACAATTTTAGGGGCACCTGGGTGGCCCAGTTGCTTCAGCGTCCGACTCTTAGTCTCGGCTCAGGTCTTGATCTAAGGGTCCTGGGTTTGAGCCCTGCTTAAAACAAAACAGTTTTAATTATGGAAAAAAATGTAAACAAAAAGGTATAAAAGATAATGTAATAAATCTCCCATGTACCTATCACCTAGCTTTAAAAATACCAACTCATATCCAATCGGTGTTTATTTTTTCTTCACGCTCTAATTATTTTGAAGCAAATCCTGGACACCTTATTTTATCTGTAATTGTTTGTCTCTCTCTTTGAAAAAAAAAAAAAGATTTTATTTATTTATTTGTCAGAGAGAGAGAGCACAGCAGGGGTGGGGGGGAGTGGCAGGCAGAGGGAGAAGCAGGCTCCCTGCTGAGCAAGGAGCCCGATGCGGGGTTGCGGGCTCGATCCCAGGACTCTGGGATCATGACCTGAACCGAAGGCATACACTTAACCAACTGAGCTACCCAGGCGTCCCGGTCTCTTTTTTTAAAAAATATAAGAACTTGAGGGGTACCTGGGTGGCTCAGTCAGTTAGGCATCTGACTCTTGATCTCAGCTGAGGTCCTGATCTCAGGGTCGAGGGTTCAAGACCTGCATTGGGCTCCACACTGGGCATAGAGCCTACTTAAAAAAAATAAGAACTTGCAAAATCATTGATTCTTAGTTAACAGTGTTATCCAGTATCTAATCAGTGTTCAGTATGCCATTAGAATCACTTCACCCACTTATGGAAATATGCAGCTGGGAAAAGTTCCTAGCTTAAGGAATTACAGGTGGGACGTTTTGATTTATTGGACAATAGTACCCACTTACCCAGGCCCACTGTTCACTATGTTGTATGAATTCTGAATATTTTTTTCTTTAAAGATTTTTTTATTATTTTATTTGAGAGAGAGTGTGAGCGGGAGAGCACAAGCGGGGGCAGAGGGAGGGGGAGAAGCAGCCTTCCCGCTGAGCAGGAAGCCCAACTTGGGGCTCGATCCCAGGACCCTGGGATCATGGCCTGAGCCGAAGGCATCTGCTGAACAGAATGAGCCACCCAGGCGCCCCAAATTCTGAATATTTTTAATTGTCCTTTGGCCTAACTTGATTGAATTTTGACAAAGGCTTTTTGTCGCCATTCTTCCATCAAAACAGCAGCGCTGGGGACAGCGCACAGAGCCTGGAACCAGACAAGTTTTGAGTTCAAAGCCTGACTCTGGCTTTTAGTAGCTGTGTACTTGGTAGAGATAATCTCCCATTCTCAGGGTCCTGGTGTGTAAAACGGAGCGGCGGGCCCCACCCTCATGGGCGAATGAGGGTCTTCTAGCAAGTGCTGAATTTCAGCTTGGCATCTGTTAAGCATTCCTCAAATGTTAGGCCCTTCCCTAATTGACCTGTTTTCCTTCCCGGTCTAAGCCAGTGACACTTCTCTGAAAAGGTGAAAAGGACGAGAACTTCCTTCCCAGGGAGAACTCCCGACCACATCCCTTTCCGGGTATCCAGCTCCTGTGCTTCCTGAAATTCTTGGTTTGCTACTTAACTCCTTCTGCTGTTGCATGGGTGCTCTCTCCCTCTGTTCTCTCCTGAAATCTCCCCAGGGCTTGAGAAAAATGGTCACTTGGTCTCTGTGGCCTTCATGCCGCCGCCCCCCGCCCCCGGCTTCCGCCAGCATTAGAGAGATAGGTCTCCTGTGGTTGCTCTGTATTGGGAGCTGCCTCAGGGCTTGGTAAACTGCCCTTCAGGTCAGGGCATGCAAAGAGGTCAGAAGCCACTGGGCGTTGGCACCCAGGAAAGAATTAGGTTGGTGAAACCATTGCTTTCATTGCCAGGGGCTATCACGCAACAGGTTTATCCGCTCCTGAGGGTGCAGAGGTGGTGGCTCATGAACCTCTAGGCATTCTCTTGCTTTTTCTGAACGAGGGATGTTGGGGTTTAGGCACTCCAGGCTCTGCTCAGAGTAGAGTGCCCTGTTCTAGGGCAAAGGTACTACTGCTCAACCCTAGTGGAAGCTGATGCACTGGAGTGTGGAGTGGGGCCCTGGGCCAGACCATAACCCTTTAGTTGTCAAGGGAGGCAGGGGAGTGGGACTGTAGGCACTGGTATTTCCCCACTGTTTCCGCAGCAGTGATGTCTAAATATTGTTAACGACGGTGTTACTGTCCCACGGTGAGAGCGCTCATTGGCAGCCCTTCTTCCGTCTCCTCCATGCTCGTCTGGATACCTGTAGGCTCCTGAGGACCCACTCCCAAGTCAGGCGCCCTCATTCACACAGCTTATCTCTTGAAGTCCTCCCAAAAGCTCTGTCAGTTTCCACAGGAAGAAACAAGGTATGAGCCAAGGAGTACCCCCATCAAATGCCGTAGCTTCTCTCTGGACCCCCAAGCCCTCAGCATACCAACCCGGTCCAGCTTGCACCTGGCCTTCCATAGTTTGTGGGGCGGATGAGTTCAGCGGGGGTCCTGGGAAGGGTACAGTTCCCAACATCGCCCCATGTGCTTTGGGCCTGAAAGAACTTGGGCAGCACCATAAGTAATAGAAACCAGGCCAAGAGCTTAAAAGACAAAGGGTCTTCCGGGGCTTCTGTTGTGTGTTTGTCAGGGTTGGGGGCTTGGGGAAAGGAGGTTTGGAGGCCTGAAGGGGTTCCCAGGATTGGGTGTGCATGTCCTAGAGGGGTGGGTGAGTCTCTGCCTCTTGAGGGTGGGAGAGGGCTGGGAGGAGGTCTTTTCTTTCATTGGTTGTGTGGCCCTGCCCTCCTCCCCCTCCTTCTCCTGGAACATTCCAGACATTCCAGACTGCCATTGCTTTCAGGATATGGATTAAAACCCCAAACTGAGATTTGATTTCCTTACCCCATCCCCTCCCCAACTTTTCCCTACCCTGAAAAGAAAGCCCCTAAATCTGGGAGTTTGAAGTAGTAGTAGGAGGAGGGTATTTTTGATCTTCGATCTCAGAGTACACTAAGGGACAATCTTGAAAGAACTGTCTTCACACTGAGCCTCCTGCCTGGGGGTTGCTTTAAGCCCTTACTGGTTTGAATTCCCAGGCAGGCAGCCCCTAGAGGGAGTGACTCCTGTCATGGGGCATCAAGCTAGGTCAGTGTCCTCAGTCTTCCAATGGTGTAACCATCTGTTCCTCAGTTCTCCAACAGTTGGACTTTGATTGTGACGGTTCCTGCATTTTCTCAGCCTGTTTGGGCACAAAATGAGTGTTATATGGGACATCCCTCACTAGGCTAGATGCCATGGGGCCCCCTCTTTTGCCTATGAATGGAATCAAAGAGAGTGGCCTGGTGTGGGATCTGACGACTGGACTTGTTTCTTATCCTTGCTCTCTTGTCCTGCAGTGTAGCCTGACGACTTTAGATCAGGTTCATGAACCACCCAAGGTAGAGAGCCATACATGTAGATTCCCTTCAACACGTATCCTCCTTTTCCCTGAAGTCATTTTGTCCCAGGAAGAGGTTTCCTTTGTGTATTTCATCAGTAAAGACTTTCCCTGCTCAGAGCTGCACAATTAGAAGGGATCTTAGAGACCCTCCAGTTTCCATTTTGCAGCTGTAAGACACTTAAGGTCACAGGGATGGAATGAGTGAGCTGGCCTAGGACAGAGCCAAGAGGGAAACATTTATGGTGAGAGCTTAGCATCCCTTCCTCATGTGTTTTCAACACCCCCCTCCCCTAGCAAGCTAGGAGCTGACAAGGGCCCAGTAGGAACACTGAGGCCTGAAGCTTACATGGCTTAGTCAGATGAAGACTCAATCAGGGGTAGTTCAAGAGCTAGAACTGGATTTTCTTGCTTCCCAGGCCAGTTTTCCCTCATGCTGTTAGAATTTCATTGGACCATGTCCCTGAACTAAGTTTGTGATCAAGGATATGCTGAGACATAGATGACAATTGACCAATGAAGATCAAGTCAATTGAAATGTTGTAAGCCCAGGGATTAGGGCATCGATTTGGGTAGTGAGCAGTTAATTGCCCTGGGAATCAACCTTGAACCTGAAAGCCTTCCTGGGGAAAATTACACTTTTAAGAGGTATTTGAAAGATGGGAAGGAGAAAGAGAAGTCATTTGGAAGGAGGGAAGGTGGTGGTCCTGATGCTGTGTTGTGTGTTAATCGTTCCACCTTAGTATTCCAAATGCTGCGTCTGTTACTACACTTTAAGTACTTGAAGCCCTTTGCTAAGCCCTAATATTATCTAACATCACCTGAAACCACCCTGTGAATAGGTATTATCCCTGTTTTACAAAGAAAGGAAAGTGAGCCTCAAAGAAGTGAAATAATTTTAAGATCAGTGCTGTTAAGTGGAACAGAGATTTAAATCCATACCTGTATAAAAAACACTTAATTACCGCACTATTATCCTCCTGTCATTTGTTTGCATGTGTGTCTCTCCCAATAAATTGTGAGCACCTTGAGGCCAGGTACTTTGTCTCTTTTGTTTGTCACCGTGTCCCCAGTATCTAGAACAAAGTATAGCCTGAAGTAGGCAACAGTTAAATGGGTATTGGATTAATGAATGAAGTCTCTGTAGCAGCTTTATATTCCTAATGCCTGAAACATGGTGGGAGGTAAGAGGTGAGAATAGGTGGTTAGTGAAGGAAAGAGCAGGGCGAGACCGGAGCACAGGGACAAAAAAAGCAGGTGTGATTTGGGGGGAATTATGTTACCCTGGTGCTTCGGGCCTCTGATCACGGTCTTCCTATCTGTCGTAGCACTGATAATTTACACTCTGAAGTGAGGCACCCTTCCACCAAATCTTTATTCCCAAAGGTTATCGTTCTTGGATTCTCAGACTTTGGTGTTGAACAGAAGGTAGGGAGATACAGACTGACATAGGGATTAAACACTGCCAGGTCATAGGCCCCTAAAGCATCCAGAGTGGTCATTAATCCTGTTCCCTCTAATTTCAGGAGTCGGAAAATTCAGATTCGAAACATCCCACCCCAGCTCCGTTGGGAAGTAAGTGTTGGGGGAAACTCAAGACATGGGGAAGTAGAGACTGGAAAGGAAGCCCGGGCCAATCTGAGTTGGCAGAGATGACTGGGGAGGTCCCCTGGTGGTTTGGGGGTCGGCCAGGGATGCTAGTACTGAGGGAGTTGGTTGGTTCTCATCCTCAGCCCAGGACTACCCATGTTAGTCCTTTGGGCTTGTCCCTGTGATGAGAGGCATTAGGAAGGTGGGTAGGGTGTTCCCTGAGCCCCAGACTTAGACCCCGGAGGCCCAAGTCTACTTCCAAAAAGGCCCTTAGAAGCCTTTTTGTTGTGCTCAAGTACATTTCTTCAAAGATACCCTGACAGGTTACCAGCAGTTATCGGTACCCTAGAGGGAGTAAGCTAAAACAGGTCATACTGCTCAGTCCCCACCTAAGGCTCTGCCTGTGCCACCATCCTTTGGGGTGAGGGTGGCTGGTGGCTGGCTTCGTGACAGTTCCTGGGATGCTCAGAATAGCCTTCCTCTCTTCTCTCGTCCATGCTCCTAGGTGCTGGACAGCCTGCTTGCTCAGTACGGTACAGTGGAGAACTGCGAGCAAGGTAAGGGTACAGTGGGGAAGTGGGGGGTGGGTGCTGGAGCAGTTTGGGGGATCTACTCTGCTTCGTTTTCCACGACCACATCCACCTGGCATAGCAAAAGCAGACAAGGCAGGCAGACAGAATATGGCACGAAGGGAGATCCACACATGGGGGACGTGGGCATGTCGTCCCGGCTTTGGCTGTGCTGCTTCTCTCTGGAACAGGTTTCTCTCTTTAATGAGCAAAAGTCACTCATTTCCAGCATGGGGTCCCAAGCTCTTAGGGGTCAGTCACGGTCGAAAGAGAGGTCTGAAGGGTTTAGCAGCATGGAAATGGGGCACTCGGCCTGAGTAAGTCTGCAGCCCCTTTACTTTAAAAGCTTCATGATTCTTTATGTTTGGCTGGAATAGTCAACTGGTTATCTCTTTATAGAAGCTCTGATTGTCAGCTATATGGCTTGGGTCAATTAAAAAAAAACAGATTTTATTACTGGGCACATAGTGATGGGCAGGCACAGTCTTTCAAGAGTGGGCCCACAGGAGAAATACTAAGAAATCTGGGTCATAAAATATTTGCTAAGATTTCTGAGGTTTCTCCATTGCTTCAGGTTATAAATAATTTCCAGAGGAAATGAGCTAAAATAAGAATGGTTTTGGTTGACACAAGGTAGAGCTTGTCCATTCGAGAAGATACAAGTGGAGTTTGTAGATCTTCAGAAGCGTAAAGAATCACCCCGTCGAGATTTAAATGCTTATCTCCATTTTCTTTGGAAAGGTGCAAGCTAGAAATCACTCTAGATTAAAATACTTGCCTGCACATAGGTAAAGTGCTGAATCTATCAAACAAGTTCTCCAGCTCTAATCCTGTAGGTTGCCTTTTTATCATAAATGCCAGGACACAGCTGGACACACTGATAACCATTGCCCAGTACTGCTCACGCGTTAGACTAATGACTGAGTTACTCTTGGACAAATAGCAAGAATGAGTGCGGGCTTGGGAGCACGTTGTGAGCCGCCCTGGGAGGCCCCGCAGGAGTCCACGATAGCTCAAATCTGTCTGGGGCTCACCCAGGAGCTGTAACACACCATATCAGGAGGGGAGACCCGTTCCCTGGAGAGAACACAATGGGAAATGTTTGATTTTGTTGGACAACAGAGAAAGTCTTCTGGTGTCACTTTCTAAGTGAAGTCCTTTCTGTTCACTTTTTAAAATCGCACCCCTTCCCACCACCTCCTTTAACCCTGATTTACATTTCTCCATGGCCATCATCAACCCATCTGATAGGTTAGAGAATTTGCTTATTGTACTTCGCGTTGTCTGCTCCTGTAAGCTCCGGGAAGGCAGAGCCTTCGTTGGTTTCATTCATTCCTGTGTTTCAGTTTAACTGGAAAGATAGTTCTTGGCGGAATCTCCCTTACTCACCACTGGTGGGGGAGCTCTGCGGATGAAGGCAAGAGGGGTTTAGAGTGGTCTGCGCTGAGGGTCTGTGGCCAGGTGACTTATCCTCAGGATGATGGGGGCAGAGGCTTGGTTTTTGTCACTGTCCTCCACCCCAGGGCTGAGCTGGCCTAGGGAACCCCAAATCAAAAGACAGATACAAGACACGTTAATTTTATTAATTCAAGAAGTGTGCCCCCAGACTGCCTGGAATTCTATTGTCCAGCCCAGTCTCTCCCTGTAGGAAAGAGTATATGGCAAAATCCAGTGAAGACCAAGAGGTTTCATGGTAAGAACGGAGGACTTGGATGGGAATAATGGCAGGTGCCATGGATTTATGATGGATTGAATGTGCATTTCCACTGCCAAGATGTTTGGAAGACTGAGTCAGGAAATCGCCACCCCTCGGTTCCCCAGTAGCTGCTCCTCTCAGCCCATTTAGCTTGGGTTATGATACACTCACGTGTGGTCCATCTGTCCTTGAGGATGCTCTGCAGTGGAAGTGGGTCTCTTCACCGTATTCTTAGAGACCATGTCTTGGGATGTTTGCTTCTATAAATTGCTAATCTTACGGTGTGTGCATTTTTAACTAGTTTAGCTTCCCAAGAATAAATTCGTCTCCCAGACCTGGTGTGTGCGCTCCCTGCCGCCTAACTGCTATGCTGACTTCAGCACCCTTTTGTCGCCCAGCTCTCGGGGGTGGGGGGGTGGCCAGGGGAGATCAAAAGAAGACACAGGAGGGAAAATGCAAAAAGATTAATTTGAATTTTCTAGGAGTTCTGGAGAGAGGGGCCTAAAGGGCACATAGTTTGCCTTGTCATTCATGTATTCCTTCTTACAACACATGTAACTTCTTATAACCTTATAACCTGAAAGGATGAGCTTTTTTTTTTTTTTTTTTAAGATTTTATTCATTTATTTGAGACAGAGAGAATGAGAGACAGAGAGCATGAGAGGGAGGAGGGTCAGAGGGAGAAGCAGACTCCCTGCCGAGCAGGGAGCCCGACGCGGGACTCGATCCCGGGACTCCAGGATCATGACCTGAGCCGAAGGCAGTCGCTTAACCAACTGAGCCACCCAGGCGCCCGAAAGGATGAGCTTTTAACACTTGGGAGTTCATTGGCGGCATCTCCAGATCTTGCTGCTCTAACCTTGGCCTCTGTTTTGCTCCCCCAGTGAACACCGAGAGTGAGACTGCGGTGGTGAATGTCACCTATTCCAACCGGGAACAGACCAGGCAGTAAGTGGGCCGGAAAGCGGGGCGGGGCGGGTCTTCGCGGGTTGTTGGGAGCCAAGTACACGTGCTTCTCCACGCTGGGGTCCAGGCAGGCAGGAGCGCCTTCTGTTACTGTGATAGCCAGTCGCAGACTCTTTTTGGTTCAGGTTCAGGTTCAGGTATCTCAAGGGTTCAGAAACTTATCAAGATTGGTAGCAAATCCATGGACGGGAAGGGACCCAAAGACCCTCCCAGGAAAGGTGGGGAATCCTCTGTAGGAGAAAAAGTGGGCTTTGCGTTGGGTCTCCGGGTGCCCCGGCACTGCAAGGGTCCTTTGCTGTGTTGACGGCGCCATCTAGTGATAGTAAGGAGGAACTGCGAGGTTTACAAAAGGGATTTGTTCACGTTCTGATGTGGCGGGGGCAGACATTTTATTTCGGTGATGCCACGAGCCCCAATTGTGCTCCTGTCGGGTCCTGTTAGTCCCATCACACCTATGCTTTCTAGCTCCTTAAGCCCTTTGATTGAGCAACTACACGCCTCACCCACTGGTACTGACAGACTTTGTACACTTTGTGCATTTACTCACTTACATCCCACCCGTTACAGGGTTTTTGCCACATTTAGCTTTTGACAGCTTTCTTGTTCCTTCAGCATGCTGCCTCTAGCTGGGTGATGATACATTTTAAAGATTTATTTATTCATTCGAGACACAGAGATAGAGTATGAGCAGAGGCAGAGGCAGAGGGAGAGGGAGAAGCAGGCTTCCCGTTGAGCAGGGAGCCCGATGCGGGGCTCAATCCCAGAATTCTGGGATCATGACCTGAGCCAAAGGCAGACGCTTAACCATCTGAGCCACCCAGGCGCCCCTTAAAAGTTTATTTTTAACTTCTCTCTACACCCGACGTGGTGCTCGAACTCAGGATCCCGAGGTCAAGAGTTAGCACACTCTACTGACTGAGCCCGCCAGGAGCCCTGCCCCCATTTTCTTTTAGGTGGCTCTCTGGGCTCAGGATTTTCTGGAGGTCCCAACTGCCCCTTGTGGCTAGTGTGTGGTCCTTAGCCTGGCTCTAAAGGTCATGTCAATACTCGGCTTACTCCCCACTGCCTGTTGCTGCCTTGTTAACATTTCTAACCTGCATCAGCCGGTGTGGAACTGGATGGAGCTTGCCTCCTCCCCTCCCACAGTGTTACTCACTCCTGCTTTGCAGACATTCCAGATAGACTTAAACTCCTGCTTCCAAGCTGTAAGCAAGACATTCCGTCTCCAACCCTATTTTTTTTTTTTACAGTTTCCTCAAACATGGAAGGTGCCAGACTCAACAGGTGTAAAAACAAGTCTCTTGTTTCATGTGTTTATTATATTTATTCACTTACCATGAATCACATGTGATTCTCACGTTAATCTTACGAGATGCGTAGTTCTGGCTGGAATTAATAAGCCAATTCAAAATTCATTGGGAATAACTTAATTTAGGTTTCCCTTTGATGTCTTCAGCCGTTTAGACTGGCAAGTTCTCTGAGGTGGAGGTGGGAGTGGTGGGTAGGTGGTCATCTCCCTTGTTTTTAGTGTGTTCCAAGTTGTAACCCGGAGTGCTTTGCACACGGAACGCCTTTGGTGTGATTGGCATGGTGTGACCAGTAGACTCTCCCTCTGTCCTCAGAGCCATCATGAAGCTGAATGGCCACCAGCTGGAGAACCACGCCTTAAAAGTCTCCTACATTCCTGACGAGCAGATAGCACAGGGTCCTGAGAATGGGCGCCGAGGAGGCTTTGGCTCTCGGGGTCAGCCCCGCCAGGGCTCCCCTGTAGCAGCGGGGGCCCCAGCCAAGCAGCAGCAAGTGGATATCCCCCTGCGGCTCCTGGTGCCAACCCAGTACGTGGGTGCCATCATTGGCAAGGAGGGGGCCACCATCCGAAACATCACGAAACAGACCCAGTCCAAGTGAGTCTTGGCTGCTGGGCACTGGGAGCCGGGGTACCGCCTGGTAGCACACCGGGGAGTCTCAGTATTTACATTTCAGGAAATGTTGCCTGGGATGTGTTCCCATTTCTCTTCATTGGGGGATGGGGGTGGTTACTGCTCCAATTGCAGCGTCCTGGGAAGGTGGGGAGGTTGAATGGGCCTGGTGCATGCCAGTTGGTGGTAGTGGCTGGGCCACACCGTTCTTAGTAGGAATGGTTCTAGAATTTCTCGTAGGACGTGCCACCAAGCAAACCTAGTCTAGGTGAGTCAGTCACTGTGGTGCACTGTGGGTTCAGCACTGCCTGTTGGTGGCCACTGGGCTGGGCAGCTTGGCCAAAGCCAGCCCTCAGTAATAGGTCATCATCCTGCCCCATCTCCGATTCCCCTACTGTTACCCCTCTAACCTCTTTTTAAAATTTTGACTTTATTTTTTTTAAAGACTTTATTTATTTATCTGACAGACACAGCAAGAGAGGGAACACAAGCAGGGGGAGTGGGAGAGGGAGAAGCAGGCTTCCCACGGAACAGGGAGCCTGATGCGGGGCTCGATTCCAGGACCCTGGGATCATGACCTGAGCCGAAGGCAGACGCCTAACGACTGAGCCACCCAGGCGCCCCTGACTTTATTTTTTTTATTTGTGTATAGTGACTCCTCTTCTCTAATCTTTATAGCTAATCAGGGTACTCTGGAAAAGAACAGGTCACATCATGTCCTTACTCCGAATGCATCCTTTATTATTTACTTTTAATTTGGGACAGTGTGCCTTCCCTTTATAGTTTTACGGGAGAGAATCCAGCATTTAAGGGGAATGCAGCTTTAGAGCTGTGGGCTACTGATTGCCAGCCCTGTGTTCCCATGCCAGATGCCACCATCGTCCGTTCCCCCCCTCCCCCCCACCTCCTGACTGGGACAGAATCCAGAGCAGCAGGCTGGCCTGGGTTCCTCTGGCCTTTTCTCTGCCCTTTCCTGTTCTGCACTGGGACTTGTTCCAAGAGCCATTTCTGTACTTTTGGTTGAGGAGACGTGGTAAGGAGGGTGAAGAAGACTCTGGGTTTCACCAGGGACCCCTAACCATCCTTGACCTTGTGGTCCTTAGGATAGATGTGCACAGGAAGGAGAATGCAGGCGCTGCGGAGAAGGCCATCAGCGTCCACTCGACCCCTGAGGGCTGCTCATCTGCATGTAAGATGATCTTGGAGATCATGCATAAGGAAGCAAAGGACACCAAAACGTAAGGCTTTTATTCAACATTTCTCATAATGAGGGGAATGCCACCTCCCCCGCTCCAACACACTTTATTCGCAAGAATGCAGGGATAAATAGGAGACAAAGGACATAAACTGAGACACGAGGTCCTCTTTTCCACAAGTAACACCCTGTATACTCTCTTAGCAGTTCTTTTTTTTTTTTTTAAAGATTTTATTTATTTATTTGAGAGAGAGAGACTGAGAGAGTGCATGAGAGGGGGGAGGGTCGGGAGGGTCAGAGGGAGAAGCAGACTCCCTGCTGAGCAGGGAGCCCGATGCGGGACTCGATCCAGGGACTCCAGGATCATGACCTGAGCCGAAGGTAGTCGCTTAACCAACTGAGCCATCCAGGTACCCTTTTTTTTTTTTTTAAGATTTATTTATTTGACAGAGAGAGACACAGCGAGAGAGGGAACACAAGCAGGGGGAGTGGGAGAGGGAGAAGCAGGCTTCCCGCCAAACAGGGAGCCCGATGCGGGGCTCGATCCCAGGACCCTGAGATCATGACCTGAGCCGAAGGCAGACGCTTAACGACTGAGCCACCCAGGCGCCCCTCTCTTAGCAATTCTGTGCACTTACAAGCGTGTGTATGCGTTTGTCCATATACGTTTGTGCACACAGGTGTGCATGTGCATGTTTTAGCGCAAATAGGACTGTAATGAACATGTTCTGTAGTTAGTTATTTTCACATTTATGGATCAGTAATTACTGACCCATCTCAGTTCTTTCTAAAACTTCATGGAGTTCTATAGTGTGGCTATTTAAAAGTATACAATTGAATGAGCATTAACATGCGTATACCTGCAAAACCATCACCACGATTACGATAATGAGCATGGCCATCACTCTGGTAGTCCTTGTGCCCCTTGGCGGCCCCTCCCTACTTCCCCATTTCTCTAGTGCTAAGCAACCACCAATCTGTTGATTTTTGTCATCTTTTAAAATGTAGTTTTGTCCTGGAAACCCCACGTCTGCGGTGGCATGCTGACCGTGTCTCTGCGTGCCCCAGCATTTAACAGCTCCTGTCCCTCTCTCTTTCCCAAGGGCCGACGAGGTTCCCCTGAAGATCCTGGCCCATAATAACTTTGTGGGGCGTCTCATTGGCAAGGAAGGGCGTAACCTGAAGAAGGTGGAGCAGGACACAGAGACAAAGATCACCATCTCCTCGTAAGGCTCTCATTTACCTCTTTATGGGTGGGATGCCCGTGGGCTCAGGGACGGCAGTATATCATTGGGCCTTCATGCTTGGCCCCGTAAGTTGGATGCAGTTTCTGTTCTGTTGAAGAATAATCAGTGACATGGCAAAGAGCGTTTATCTCTGTGAGGGCTGGGGTTGCTGGAGCGCATCCTTTCGTCCTCTGGCCTGCCCATCACTCCTATCCCCTGCATCTCAGAGAGCCTGCAGCTAGGGCGGGGTCTCAGGCATGTTTGCTGGTCCGTGAGAAGCAGACCGACCCAGGTCCTGGTCTGAGGATTGGGTGTATGCTCCCCTGTGTCGGGGCCTGTCTCCCCCGGAAGAACCAGAGCCAAGCAGATCGATTATCTCTTCTGTGAGCACTGTGCTTCTTCATTGCATCCCAGACTCGCTGTGTTCCAAAAGCACAGGAAATGGGTTGCGTAGAACCACTGGAGAAACTTCCAGTCCTGAGCATCCTCATTGCTTTACCGGTGATGAAAACCTGTCTATGATTGGACTCATTGCAAATCGAGGGGTTTCAGTTGGGTGTTCTCCTCTCCCTGTACCTTGCTCCCTCCCTGCCTGGGTTACAGACTGAAGGCCAGAGACGGGGAGCTATTTGCTGAAAGTGAAACAGCCTGCAGGAGCTGTTTCTGCGGCTGATTCCCAGCCATGGCCCCTTCCTGTTGGGAGGATGACACGACTCTGCTCTCCCGCCAGGCTGCAGGACCTCACCCTCTATAACCCTGAGAGGACCATCACTGTGAAGGGGGCCATTGAGAACTGCTGCAGGGCCGAGCAGGAGATCATGAAGAAAGTCCGGGAGGCCTACGAGAACGACGTGGCTGCCATGAGTGTGAGTGCCAGAGGGCCAGTCACCCTAATGCTCTGAGCCTGGGGCACTGCAGATGGGGGTCTCCACCTGGGGTGGGCAGGCCACACGCCTTTGGATCTCCAATCCTCCAGATCTTTTACGTTTAATGAATAGAGATTCTTTATCTGATTGCTGAGGTGGGGGTTGGGTTTCATCTTCGGTTTCAAAGTCTGTGGTCTTCCTGTAAGATTGGTGTTTGTGTGTTCTTCAGTGAGGAGAGGGGCCATAATTTTCATCTGATTTGTTTTTTTAAGATTTTATTTACTTATTTCAGAGATAGCACGAGAGCCAGGGTGAGCCGGGGGTGGGGGAGGAGCAGAGGGAGAGAGAGAAGGACAAGCAGACTCTGCATTGAGTGCAGAGCTCAATGCGGGGCTCGATCCCACAACCCCGAGATCATGACCTGAGCCGAAATCAAGAGTCGGACACTTAACCGTCTGAGCCACCCAGGTGCCCCTCATCTGATTTTTAAAAGGGAGTGAGGATGTGGAGTACAGGAAAAAAGGTGAGCCTTGGAGTCTAACGGAGATCTGTTGTTGCTGTGCCTTCTCATAGGAATGTTCCAGGGCAGGGTGAGTGGAGTAAACCACCAGAGAGATGGGACATCTGAGGCTCTGGTTGACCCTTCTGGTTGGTGTTGCTGGTTCTTGGTCCAGCGATAATGTCCCATCACTCACAGCTCCATGCTCTAAGTGTATGTGCGTGTGTGTGTGTGAGAACCGGAAGGGCAGGCAGGTTTTGTGCAAAAGCACCCAGTTCTCCTGTGTTCACTCCCCCCCACCTCTCCCACCCCTCCCACCCCACCCCAGCACTGCCTTCTGGATTCAGCCAGCCCTGCATCATGAGCTGACCTCTCCCTCCTTACCTTCCTTCCCCAGCTGCAGTCACACCTCATCCCTGGCCTGAACTTGGCGGCTGTAGGTCTGTTTCCAGCCTCGTCCAGTGCGGTCCCGCCACCTCCCAGCAGCGTCACCGGGGCTGCTCCCTATAGCTCCTTTATGGTAGGTGCAAGATCTCCTTGGGGGGTGGGGTGGGGGAGGTGCTGGGCCCTTCCATGGCCTCCCTTAGGGTCCAGCCCCCTGCGGGAGCCTGATACTTGGGAATTTGCAGAGAGAGGGAAGGGAGGTCTGGGATGCCCCTCTTGGGCAGTACTCCCAGTCGTGTGCACAGCGTCTCAGATGCCACCTGGGCTGCCGGCAGCCCTCTCCCTTTGTCCTTGGGGGCCTGGGGAGAGCCAAGGAGCGGGTTGCCCACGTTGGCCGCCAGGTGTCTGCCTTCTTCTCTTTGAGGCTGCACGCCCTGGGGGGTGGAAGGGCTTCCAGGCTGCGTCCCTCACCCCTGGTCGTAACACGCCCTGTCTCGGCAGCAGGCTCCGGAGCAGGAGATGGTGCAGGTGTTCATCCCGGCGCAGGCAGTGGGTGCTATCATCGGGAAGAAGGGACAGCACATCAAACAGCTCTCCCGCTTCGCCAGTGCCTCCATTAAGGTGACCTGCTCTGTCTCCTTCCAGGTCCTGGGAAGAGGGCAGCGCCCTGCTTCCACCCCCTCAACCTTTCTTCCCGCTGTCGTGTGGTCTGTTTCTCTGATGGATTGTCGTGCATATGACCTTGCCCAGGGCCTTCGGTGCTCCTGGGCTTCCGGGCAAGGGAGGAGGCCGAGTTGCTGCAGAGGAGGATCGCTTAGGTTCTGGCCTAGACTGATGTGGGTTCAGCCTGCAGCCCCTAAGCTAAGGCCGTCAGCCTCAACCACTATTCCCTTGTCACTGCGATCATTGTCCTAGTGCCGTGAAATTTCACAGCCGGCGCCCCACTCGGCCAGTGCCCAGCGCTGGGGGGGTGGGATGGGGGGGGGTTGCGGTAGATGCCGACTGTGTTTTCGCCCCCCCTTGGCTGGGGTCCAGCGCAGAGAGAAGGGAGAGTGTCCTCGTGAAAGTTTCACAAGCTTAAATCCAGTTGTGTCGGTGGCCCCTAAAGGACTTGGTCAGATGCAGGGATTCTTTTCTGCTGAAGTGTGGTCCCTGCCCTCCTCACCGTGGGCATTTTGTCTGTTCCCCACTCTGGGCAGGACCCCACGGAAGCCTCCCCGGGAAGCTGGGAGGGTGGGCGGTGAGGAGGGAATGTCCCTGGAACACACGCACCCACGTCCTCATCACATTTTTGGTGCAAGGGCAATGCCCTTGGGGTTCAGGGCCTTTGTTCTCACCTCTCCTAGCCCTCGGAAGTAGGTGGTGGAAGTGGGATGGTGGCAGGGGGCTCGGAGGAGGTGAAGGTAGGGGGCACCTCTTTGACCAGCTCTTTGCTTTCTAGATTGCTCCTCCTGAAACTCCTGACTCCAAAGTTCGTATGGTCATCATCACTGGACCCCCAGAGGCCCAATTTAAGGTTCTCATCTTTGTTTTTCCAAAGAAAAGGAATTGAGGTTGGGTGGGAGTGCAAATCTGCATAACACTTTCTTAAAAAAGTTTTTATCTATTTATTTAAGTAATCTCTACATCCAATGTGGGGCTTGAACCCATGACCCCAAGAGCAAGAGTCTCATGCTCTTCTTTTTTTTTTTTTTTTTTAGATTTTATTTATTTATTTGAGAGAGAGAGAGAGAGCACATGAGAGGGGGGAGGGTCAGAGGGAGAAGCAGACTCCCTGCTCAGCAGGGAGTCCGATGTGGGACTCGATCCGGGGACTGCCAGGATCATGACCTGAGCCGAAGGCAGTCGCTTAACCAACTGAGCCACCCAGGCGCCCCTCATGCTCTTCTGACTGAGCCAGCTGGGTGCCCGTGGACAGCATTGCAATGCTGCTTTCAATTTGGCATCAAACTCAACTTCTGTTGACTTCTTCCCTCTTTCCTTCTGAAGGTGAACAGAAATACGGGACAGAAGGAAGGCTGAGGGCTTCTTTCTGGTGCCCTGCCTTAGTTAGGAAGGAAGATCTTTGATGCCCAGTTCCCTTCTCTTCTTCATGTCCTACTGCATTGCTGGGTCCCTGAACTTCTGGTCACAGAGCCAGAGAGCTAACAGTTAGCTCCTGCTGACCTAGGCAGGGATGGAGAAGGGGATGCTCTCGAGGCTGTGTGGGCTGTCCAACATCCTATCCTCTGGCTGACTTGATCAGCTGCCTTATTCACCTAAATGGGATCATCCCAGACTCTGTAGGGTTGTGTAGCTTATGAATTGTACTTCTGGGAAGTATGTGTTCAGTTACTCTACGCAGCCTCTCCAGTATTACAAGTAAGCAGAAGGAAGAGGTCAGTGCTCTTGGCCATTTTCCTATCACCTGGTGTAGATGGTTGATGCACCCGTGGGCTGGGCCTGTGGGGCCAGAGAGGATGGGGTGGAGCTTGGGGGCTCTATTTCCATGTGTACCTCACTTCCCTTTTGTCATGTTTGTGGCCCGCTGATTAACAAGGACCCCCTCCTCTCAGGCTCAGGGAAGAATTTATGGAAAACTCAAGGAGGAGAACTTCTTTGGTCCCAAGGAGGAAGTAAAGCTGGAGACCCACATCCGGGTGCCGGCGTCAGCTGCTGGCAGGGTCATTGGCAAAGGCGGCAAAACGGTGAGCCTTCAGACCAGGGATGAACCTTCCGGATCTTAGTCCTCAAACCCCATAGCTCTGCCCTGGCCTCCTACTCCCCTACCCCGTACAATAAGACTTCCGACTTGCTCCTTTACCCAATTCTCCTCCCCAGCCCGGCTCCCAGGTCCTCCAGTTACCTGCTAGGGACTCGCCTCTTGCCCCTCCCTCCAGCCCCCTCCATGCTTTCTTGATAGCACCCCAAACTTCTCTCTGCGCCCCCCCCCCCAGGTGAATGAGTTGCAGAATTTGACAGCAGCCGAGGTGGTGGTGCCAAGAGACCAGACCCCGGATGAGAATGACCAGGTCATCGTCAAGATCATCGGGCATTTTTATGCCAGCCAGGTACATGTGGCACGACCCGTCCCCCCGCCCCCCCGCCCTGCCCCGCCACCTCGTGGGAAGACAGCAGGAGCCCAGGGATTGGAGAAGCAAGAGGCCAGATGTTGATTTGCATAGCTTTGACCATGGCTTTGACCAGTCCCGTGGACTTCTGCCTGCCTCTGGACTGGGCCATTCTTTTCCAAGTGTAGGAGTGTGATGTGTAGATGTTTTATGCTCTGTTAGAACTGTAGGGAAAGTGATTTGAGAAGTTCTGTATATAGTATATATTCTATATAGTGACTAGTATTTTTCTGTGTTACTTGCTCTATGTTAAGTCTTTCCTGTTGTCTGACTTTAGTCCTTCGCTCACCCCTTTTGCACCAGATAAGAAAGGAAATTGGTATTACCCACCACCCAGTCTTGTTTGTGGAATAATAACAGTGGTAACAACATTCTGGATTGCCTTTTTCCAGTGCAGTCCCTTTGCCTTTCTCACGACTACTCCATCCCTGGTTCCAGTTCTACTGTCCCATCCAGAACTCACCAGCCCCATATCACCTCCAGGGGTCCAGTCGGCACTGCCTGGCATTGGGACTGACCCCAGAGTCTGGAAAGAGGGTGGATATCAGGTTCAAATCTTAAATCTGAATCTTAAAACTCAGAGAAAGGTTGATTGAAAGGTAGTGGGGTTTCCCTAAAATCCTCTGGCGTTGGGATTGGAAGGGATATGGAGACTTCTGGACACAAGCCCTTCTGTTCAGAGGATAGGCAGTTCCAAAGCTAGATGCTGCCTAAGCGGTCAAGGGCAATACAGGATCCTGGAACCCCGAACCCCAGCTCTCGGCTCCCAGTGTGGTGTGGCCAGACAGCACCAGGAATGGGTTTTGGAGGCAGAGGGCTTTGCACTCAGACCCCACATGGCTTTTCTGCTGTATGGCCTTGGCTAAGAAACTTTCTGTGACAGTCCTTGGAGAGAGGTATCAACAAGAGTCACGATAGTATCTAAGATTTCTGGGTGCATCTGATATACCAAACAGTATTGTGTGGTTCACGTATATTAGCTCATTTAATCCTCGTGACAATCTCATTGTACAGATGAGGGGTGTGGTAGTGTGAAGGATAGGTCCAAGGATGCACAGAGCCAGAATGTTCTCAGTACCGAAGTGGGGGGGGGGTGGTGGTGGTATTTTTCATGTGTTAGAATGAGAATTAGAGGGAAATCTTTGTAAACCATCCACTTGCGGCTGAGTAGGAAGTAATATAAATCCTCAATCCACAGCCTTTCCCCCACCTACACCATCTTTCTCTTGAACCAAGAAACCAAGCACTCTGTTTATGGAAGGAAGCAATTCTGGTAAACGGTTAGGGGCACCCCGTGTTGTAGTTGGTTTCCCTTGCAGAACTCTGTCCTTAGCGAAGAGAGGAAAGAGTAAAGAGACGATCCTTGGGTATTTTGTCCATTTTTTACGGTGGAGCTTAGGTTTCACTGCTTGTTTGTAAATCCGTGTCTGGACGTTCCATCCCCTTTACTGGGAGCTCTGATTTGAGGAGGTCTCCTACCTGATGACCCTCTGACCAAACATACACCTGGAAACTCCAGGGGTTTTATTTTGGGTTCAGTAGCCTGTGTGGCGAGTTTGTCAATTTTTCAATTCTGGTGAATGAGTTTGTACTCTGTCCGCTCCCCCCCTCCCCACCGCGGTGGGGGCTGCTCAGGACCCACGGGGAGGCAGACAAACTTTAGGTCCCACTCACTCACTCTCTTTCTGTTGTGTTTGTTGCCGGTGTCTAGGTCCCAATGGCTTCTCTCCCCTAGGGTCTGGCTCTCTCCTTGCCTTTGGGGATCTTCACTCTTGCCTCTTCTCTGGTTCTCCCACAGATGGCCCAGAGGAAAATACGAGACATCCTGGCCCAAGTTAAACAGCTGCACCAAAAGGGACAGAGTAACCAGGCCCAGGCACGGAGGAAGTGACCAGCCCCTCCCCATCACGTCGACTCAAGGACAACGGGCTGAAATCGAGAGCGCGTTCTCCCCAGCAGGCCTGAGAATGAGTGGGAATCAGGGACACTTGGGCCGGGATGTAGATCAGGTTTGCCCACTTGCTTGAGAAAAGACGTTCCAGTGAGGAACCCTGATCCCTCGGCCCCACACGCCCAACCAATTGGCCCGACACTGCCCACCCCTCAGGGTGTCACCATGGAAATTTCTAGCTCAGGGTGCTTTTAAACGTGGATTGTTTAAGTAAGTTCTCCAGGTCCCACCGAGAGGGTGGGTCAGACCCCAGTGGGAAGAGAAATAAAATTTCCTTCAGGTTTTTCAATCATGCAGAGGGGTGTTTTAATCAGCCTCAAAGGATGGTTTGCTTCTTGACCCTAAAATCCTTCCAACCTTCTCCTGCTTGGTCCGTTGATTAAAATACCTCTACTCTCGTGCCCTGACATAGCCTCTTCCTATATTCACACGAATTGTTTTATCTGTACTGCTACCAGAAAAAGTGGGAACCAGTGCATTGCTTTGCTTACGTTATTGATTCAAAGGAGCAGACACACCAGCATCTATAGTTTATTATCCCACTCCTTCCCTAACCAACCAATAGGAACAGCAAGGAATAAAGAATGGGGGAAAAATATGATTAAAATATATAGTAATCCACGTTTAAAAGGAGTGCCCTTATGGCTGATCTAGTCCAGATCACCATCTTGAAAAATTGGCGCAATTAAAATTTTCTCCGCTCTGTCGGGACTTCCCCACCAAGATTCCCTGCCCCATTCGCGTCCTCCTACCCATCTAGGTGCACATGGGTGGTACTGAATGCTCAGCGGGATAGGGGCTGACCACTGTACTGTCCCTGATTCCCATCATTCTCAGGCAGATTTTATATTTTTTTAAAGTCTATTTTAATGATTGGATATGAGCACTGGGAAGGGGACATGACTCCCCTTGATAAAGTCTCAGTTCCATGGAGGACTTGAGTGGCCCCAAAGGCTGCCACTGTGCCCTCACTCCAGCCCATGTGCTCCTATAAGGGCTGGTTCCCAGAGGCAGGGGTTGCGGGGCACTCCCCCCCCACGGCACTGTTCCCTTGGTGGTGGTGGGATGTGGAACCCAACCCTGAGCTCCCGGTAAAGCTGAAGCCCGTCATCTGGCATGTATTACGAATATTCAGTAAATTGGAGAGTATTTGCTTCTGTTTTTATCCTCGAGGCATATTTAACCGATGGCTTCTGCCTCCGTCAATCGTTGGCATGACCAAAGTTGTGCCTGAAAACAAAATTCAAAATACCCGCAGCATTATGCACAAAAGGGGTAAATAACCTTAATTTATTAATTTACTAGGCTCAATAAGATCCCGTTGGAAGTTCAGCCCTTATGGAAGACGGCAGCCATCAGTTAAATGAGGTTAGGCCTCCCCTCCGAATACACTGATTGTCAATGCATATTAGCCAGGTGGTGCACTTTAGCTACCTTGGACAATGCTATCAAGTGTGCTGGGAAGGGAGGAAGGCCTCTCTGCATGTGGAAAAGCCCATGCGTGGAGTCCCCTCCTTCCAACACTGCCACAACGACAGTAGTAATAATGAGACAACCATGACACGTGGGCGGAGTCAGTCAGGTAATGCTGTGCGCGAAGTAAACTACCTCAAGGTATGAAGTTACCTCAGCAATTACTTTCCTTTTTGTTCCCCCCACCTTTTTTTTTTTAACCTTTTTTTTTCTTTGCGGCTTGCTGATATTTTATATAAAAAAAGAAAAGCAAAGCAAAAGAGAAGCTGATAGTCTTGAATATTTTATTTTTTTAATGAAAAGAAAAAAAACGAGAAAGTTATGTTTCATAATTTCTTACAACATGAGCCAGTGTAAGCCTTTAGGATCTCTCTATGGAGAACAGGCCCTGTGGGCAAGGCAGGAGGGGCTGGCTCTTTGGGAGGAGGCTGGGGCTGCGCAGGCCCGAGGTTGAGAGAGCCCGGGGGAGGCCCTGATCTCTGACTCCCGGATTCCTACGCCACTGGGGCCTCTCTCTTGATCTCCTGCCTGTTGGGATTCAGAGACCTAGCAGAGCTGTAGGCCTCCAGGGGCAAACAACAGTCCCCAGCAACCGGCCCCTGGCATCCGCCCCCTCTCTCCCTTTTTGGTTAAAGGGCATCCCAGCCAGTTTTCCCCACCAGTGGTGCTGTTGAGATATTTTAAAATATTGCCTCCGTTTTATCGAGGAGTGAAATAATAACTAAAAAATATACCCATTAAAAAAAAAAAAACCCTCTATTTCTCTGTTTAGAAATATGGGAGCCAGAGTCCGTTGGTGGAAGAGACAAAGCTGCTCTCTCACCCTCAGAGAGGTCCGCCTGGTTTGTCATTGCAATCTTTTTCTTTTTCCTTCTTCTTCTTCTTTTTTTTTTTTTTTTGTTATTTTCATTTCAGTCCCATCTTGCTATTCTTTTTTGGTCTATATCAACAGACCAAGGAGCAGACAGACACTTGGATGCCTGCTCCCCTGTCTCCTCTATCTTCTTTAGATTGATCTGATTGATTTTAACAGTGGACCCAAACTAAAGGAATTCCTAATTTAGGGTGGTGGGTGGCCAGGAGGGGTAGGAGGTATGAGAATGTGATTGGGGACAGGTTCCTGCCTCGCTCATGTCTTATCCCTTTGTCCCCATGACATTCCTTTTTAACCTCCAGAATGGTCTACCCCAAAGAGAGGAGGATGCAGGAGAGCGTTTAGGGGTAATATCAGGCCAATCTAATTTGAGCTTCCCACCTGTCCTAACCCACAAAAAAAGGGGGGGGTCTCCCAACTTCCATCTCTGGCTCTCTATGCTTTATCCCAAAATGAAGCAGATAACGTTCAGACATCGGCCATTTGGTGATTTAAGGTGAATTTCCAACAGCAAGCATGCTTTAATATCTGGTTCAGACTACCAGCAGGAAAAAAACAAAAACCACCCACAGTACCTGAAATGTGATTGTTGCAGTGTTCAGTTTCCTTGGGATCCTGCTCCCTTCACACCTTAAGCCCACGTCCTTTTCCTTTGGCTGGTTCAGCTCCCAGAAGAGATCAGGAAGTGTGGCGAGGGACTATCCAATATGAGTTGAATTAGCACGGCTCCACTCATCGCTGACATTTGCCCAGCAGGAAGGTTGTGAAAGTTACCCTACCAGAAGCAGAAGGAATATGGTTTGGTGGTTAAAGTTTAGGGGAGATAAGGACCTGTCTTGGTGGGCCCACCTTTGACCCTTAGGCTAGGCTAGGTCTTGGGCCAGTTCCTTGTCCTCCTGCACATCACCTCCATTTCCCCATCCTTGGTGAGAGAAGTCAACGTGAAAAGCACTTGGGAGATTTGGATGATCTGAGAAAAGCGACTTTTAAAAAACCACTTCTTATACTCGAAGATTATATATATATGTGTGTGTGTGTGTGTGCGCTACATATATATTTTTAAGAAAGGACCATCTCTTTAGGATATATTTTTTAATTCTGTGGAACACACAAAAAACCAAAATGGTTTGATTCACTAACTTTGAAGCTGCATCTGACAGTTACACCCCGATGGCTTTAATCCCCTCTAGGGTCTGGTTGCCTTTTGCAGTTTGGATTGTGGACTCAACTCCTCGGAGGGGTCTGGGTAGGAGAGAGCTGAGTGGAGGGACAGGGAATTTTATCCCCTGCTGCTCTCTCCCCCCCTCCCAGTCCCTTGTCAGTCTTTATTCCTTTCCTCATGAGCTCTCCACTTCCAGGGGGGCGGTTGGGAGCTATGAGGTACGCCTCACTACTGCAGCAAAGACCCCGTGTAAAACCCAGAGAACACTGGGGGGGGACACTCCAGGTGGCTCTGTGTCCGTTTTCCTCTGTGCCAAAGACAGACAGACAGAGGCTGAGAGAGGCCGCTTCTGAATCAAAGCAGTAGCCATCTTTCGACATAGACTTGGGCTGTCTGAGAGGGGCTCCTGGAGACAGTGTGAGCTAAAGACGCGTCCCTTCCCTTCTGAGGCTCCTGGGGGACGTGGGGGCGGGACTTGCCAAGGGGTAGGGAGCTGAGAAAGGGGTCCGTTGGCTCCTGGTTGCACTTTGGGGAAGGGGGGAAAGTTTGGGGCCCCTCCACGTGGGACTGCTCTCCGTCCCCTGCCCCCACTGCAGAGATAGCACGGCAAGTTCCCTTCAGGCCTGGCAGACTGGCAGCGAGGAGGGGCCTCAGTTAGCTCTCAAGGGTGCCTTCCCCTCCTCCCACCCCAGACATACCCTCTGCCAAACTGGGAACCAGCAGTGCTGCGTAACTACCTCACAGAGCCCCAGAGGGACCGCCCGAGCTTCCAGTTCGTGAAGAAGCCGGCACCTCTAGTCAATCCTTTCCTCCCACCTCCCATCCAGGGGTGGCGGGAGATCCTAGTGGCTTTGGCATTCAAACCATGCAACCGTTTTGCCTGTTTGTTGAAAACCGGTAGAAGGAAGACAGCACAGCCTAACATAAAGTAATTGCAGGAAGATGGAAGACAAACCCTCAGTGCCAGGGGGACATAAAGCCATTTCCCTTCCAAACCCTCGATGACTTCGATGCAGAACATTTCTCTTGTATTCAGACTTGGAGTAACACCAGCTGAAAGCTTCGGTTTCTTTCCTTTGGATACAGAAGGCTTCTCTATCGGGGTACAGGGCAGGGAGGAGACCTCGTGACCGAAGGTGGAGGTAGAGGGTGAGGGCCAGATCCCAACCTTGACCCTCGGGCCCATGCACCTCCTTGGGGCACAGCCTGATGATGGCACCCTTTGTAGGGTGCCTTAGTATGGTTGAATCCGGACTGACAAGACATGAAAGAATTTTTTTTTTTTTTTTCTGAAATGAACTAGCAGGAAGCTCCTCGGGAGCACGTGTTTTGAGTAACCACAGGTGATGGATGCTACGAGTAGAAATGGATTAACTACCTCAATCCTTACAATAAGATTGGAACCAAGGGCGGGGACTCGTGCATGAGGGTATGAATCCCAGCCAGGAGAAGTGAGTTGAGGCTTATGCCAGAAAAGGTTTGTTCTTGAGAAACAGGCAGGCCTGCCAGGATCCCCCCACTCCTGTCAATGGGGCTGGGAGGTCTGGCAATTAAGCACCCCCTTTCTGCCTTCCTTGCCCTGGGGTCCAATGTCACCCCTTTCCCTTCAGCCTGCCCCCGCTGCCCCCACTTGCTCTATCTTGTTGGACCAGAGAGGCTGGCTGGAGGTGAAGTCGGGGCTTGGGCCTGGAACCCATCACTCAGCCCTAGCGTCAGGAAGCCTGGGGAAGCCAGAGTTCAGACCTCTTCAGGGTTTCTCTGAGATGCTCTGCCTCCATTGTACCCCCTTCTCTGTCTTCACGGGGACAGTTGGCTCTAGAAGAAGAGGTGGTGCAGGATCCTTTGTCCTGAGAGAGTCCAAGGCCCCGTCCTCTGGTCGCTCAGGCGTGTTTGTAGTCGGGGAGTCCACTGGGCGGTCCCAGCCCCTCCCCACCCTCTTAATGGACCTCCTCATAGAAGCCCCATTTCACTTTTGTTTTATCTACCTCTTAGCAAGACAATAGAGATAAATTAGGTAGTGGCAACTCCACTTGCTTAGGTTAGGGGGGGAAAAAGATTTCTTTTTCCAAAGGAAAAAAAAAATATTACCTTAAAAATACTTTCCAAAAAATTTTAAAAAACCAAAAAAAAAAAAAAAATTTAAAAATTTAAAAAAAAAGAGGGAGACATTTTCCAGTCACCACTGGATTGTTTTAATTCCCCAAACTTTTCTCTTTTTTTTTCCCCCGTAAATAAGTTTCACTCTTTGGCGAGTTTCTCCACTTGTTTAAGATAACGTGCTATTTTAACAGGTACAGCTTTCACAGAGCCCCCCTGGCTTGCGTACCCCCCCACCCTACCCTCCACACCCCATTCCCCCACCGGTGAGTCCTACCTGTGCTCACCCCAAGACCCTCCCAGCCAGGTGGTTTCAGCCCCACCCCCGCCAAGAATAAAGACTGTGTGTGTTGGGGTGCTTACGTCTCGACTCACCATTTCCCCCTGTGGGGGTTGGGGGGCCGCTTGTAACACTTCTGTGTAAATTTTATGTAACCCACTGCAATGTAAAGCTGTTCAAAATGAATTTCAGCAGATGATGAGTTAGCGTAATGAATAAACATCCTCTACCACCACTTGGATTCTCCCCTTTCTCCAGCAACTTCATCCTGGTCCCGGA